ACCACTACCACCACTACTACTACTCCTACGACTACTACTACTAATATGACTACTGTTACTGCTACTACTACTACTACTACTACTACTACTACTGTTACTACTGATTCTACTAATTTTACTACTACTACGACTGATGCTACTACTACTACTACTACTACTACTACTACTACTACTACTACGACTACGACTACGACTACGACTACGACTACGACTACGACTACGACTACGACTACGTCTACTACTACTACTACTACTACTACTACTACTACTACTACGACGACGACGACGACGACGACGACTACTTCCACCACCGCGACCACTACCACGTCCGTCTACTGCATCTACCAGGAATCACAACAGCCGTCTGGGCTTGTGTGGTTTAGCGAATTTTCATGTCCATCTTCCTTCCTCCCTTTTGTGGAAAGGTGTGTCACCTCCCCCGAATGGATAATCACGCTCTCCCCAACACGAACGGCAACTAACCTGGAACCATTTGTACCCCCCCACCACTCGTGTCACCATACAATACACACTACACGTTGCTTCCAAAACCACGGCATGCGAGGGAGCCCAGGGGCCATCTTGCATTGCTTTTCAAAGGGGAGAGAGTGGGGCATATTGCTGGCTGCGCGCATGCAAACCCTCCATGCCAAACCAAAAAAAATCCTGGCAAAAGACTCAACTGCATGCAAATGTGGATACCGCGGTGGTGCATATCTTCTTCGGTGGAGCTCCCTATGGGCCCAAAAACGTGTCAAGGGTGTGCCGAAACGGGTACGGTGGTGCCATGCGGGCGCTGCCACTGTGGCCTTCGGTGGAGCTCCCTGTAGGGCCACGCATAACTTGAGGGTTGTGCCGAAAAACGGGCGCTCTGGTGCCATGCGGGCGCTGCCACTGGGGCATTCGGTGGGGGAACCAACCATTGCCTCCAAATCTGTAGCATGCCCGGCGCCCCGCGACCACTTTGCATTTATGTTTGCAAGGGGCGGCAAGGGTACCAGCATATTGCTTGCCGCGCGCAAGCAAACGCTTATCCCAGAAATAGACAAGACAGCATCACTTGGCGAAGACATCAGGTTCAAGCGCGAACCCCCCGCGATCGCCGCTCCTAGACAATATGCTGAGACTCGGGTATTACTTATGAGTTCGGGACGGCGGGTGGGAGTGGGCGAGATGGCTTGCTGGCGGGAGACATAGCTTGAGCCCTCCCTCTACCCCCTTCCGCTCGACATGGACGGGGCGCCCCGCGGGCAGTTGGGGCGTCCAAAGAACAAACGCAACATTCTCAGAACAGAAGCCCGATGTGCTAAAGCAAGACAGTCTCAGCCAGACATGCTCTAGGAACATTTCGTGCAGACCACAAGAGGTTCCTGGAACATGATGTGGTAGGCCTATGGGCGAGCTGGGACGCTTCGCCTCTGCTTCACAGCCCCGTCCGCGCCCTGATTGTGGGCACACCTCGGGAGGTCTCCCCGTGCCCCGCCTCCCCCAGGCACACCCCTGCCGGAGCAGCACTGTGAGCACGTCGCCGGCGAGGCGCTGGCCCCAGCCCTCCACAAGGGGGAGCCGCCGGGGATGGCACTGCGCGGCCCTGCTCGCGCCCAGCTTGTGGGGACCCCTCGGAGACGCACTCTGCTCGGAGAGGCGTCCCCTCCCCACCCCGTCTCAGTAGAAGCCGCGGGCGTGAGGGCACCTCAACTTTCTCCTCCTCCTCCTCCTCCTCCGCCTCCGCCTCCGCCTCCGCCTCCGCCTCCGCCTTCGCCTCCGCCTCCGCCTCCGCCTCCGCCTCCGCCTCCGCCTCCGCCTCCGCCTCCGCCTCCGCCTCCGCCTCCGCCTCCGCCTCCTCCTCCTCCCCCTCCCCATCCCCCTTCTCCTCCTCCTCCTCCTCCTCCTCCTCCTCCTCCTCCTCCTCCTCCTCCTCCTCCCCCTCCTCCTCCTCCTGCTTCCAGAGCAGGTCGTGAGGATGCCTCGGGCGACCCGCTCGCTCCGGCACCCCGCGGGGGGACCGCCGGGCTTGCTCGCCCGCCCCCCTTCGCGCCCAGACCGTGGAGACGCCCCGAGCGGTTTGCCCGCTCTGCCCCCACCCCGGACGCCCCTGCTTTCAAAGCAGACTGCGGGTCTGTCTCCGGCGAGGCGCTGCCGGGAGCCCCACCGAACGTTACCCGCAGGAACTCCGACGAGGCCGCAGGACGTCCCTGGAAGCTCCAGGGAGCCCCACGAAGCTCCAACGAGCACCAGAGTCTCCCAGGAGCTCCCAGGACCCCCCCCCAGGATCTCCCAGGAAGCTCTCCAGGGAGCCCCCAGCTCCCGAGAAGCTCCAGGAGGCCCAGGAAGCTCCTGGGAGCCCCAGGGATCTCCGCACAGTTTTCCAGGAAGCGTTGGGACGCCCCGAGATGCGCCAGTGAGCCCCAGGAAGTTACAGGGAGTTCCAGCGAGCTCCCAGGCAACCTTGGGATTTCCCAGGAAGCTATGGGGAGCCCCAGCATGGAGCTCCCAGGACCCCCCAGGAAGCTCCAGTACGTTCCAGGAAACTCCAGGGAGCCCTCGGACGCCTTGCCAGCAGGGAGCGCCAGTGAGCGCCCAGGAGATCCCAGGAAACCATGGGAGCTCGACGTGCCATGCGGTCTGCTTCTTCGGTTGCCCAGACTCCCTCTACTTTCACAGCAGATTGCGAGGACGTGGCATTTGAGGCGCTGATTTCAGCAAGCCACGGCGGAAAGGGTGGCACCAGGCGGAATCTCAGTCGCCCGTTGGCGATAAGATTCTGGGGATGGCTCAGGCGGCTTGCCTGTTCGGCGCCTTCGCCTTGTCTGCTGTCGAGGCAGATTGTGAGGATGTATCCGGAGAAGCGCTGGTTTCAGAATTTCAGCACCCCATAACTAAGAAAACCGCAAGGGGTGTTTGCACGGAAGAGTATGGAGGAGGAGGGGGAGAATGCAAAAGGATAAGGATGATGATGATGAGGAGGAGGAGGAGGAGGAGGAGAAGGATGGAAGGAGGAGGAGGAGGAGGAGAAGGATGGGAGGAGGAGGAGGAGGAGGAGGAGGAGCAGCAGCAGTTCAAACTTACGACTCATAAGAGATATTGGAATACAATCTCCCTCCGAATTCCCTCTTCATAAGCCCCTGAAAGGTTCATGAAATCCTGCAACGTGCCCAAAGACCATGTTCAAGACCTCTACGCCACGACTTCACCTGATTGTGAGGCCTTGGCGATCCGGAATCGTGCAAGAACATCCCACCTGGGACTTCAACACAGCAGATCAACGTCACTGGTACGCCCTGACAGTCATGAATCGGTCCAACCCACCATTTCTGATGTGGTAACCATAGGAAACAATAACACTTTTGCGAACTTTGGGAACAACTGCGCGCGGCGCTAAGGCGAGAACCAAAGAGAGCCACATGTTCAAAACGAACCGCCCTGAATCTGTGAGAATCCTGCAAATGGTGAAATGAATGCGCGCGGCGGTAAAACGAGAGCCGCACTTTGAGAACGACCAGGCCCCAATCGGTAAAACTCCTGCAAATATGTTTAAGACGAATGTGCGCGGCGCTTAGGCAAGAGCCGCAGTTTGGAACCGGCCCACCCTCCATCTGTGAAACTCTTGGCAGATGTTTAAGACGAGTGAACGCGGCGCTAACGCGAGAGCCTCATTTTAAAAAACACCCGCCCTCCATCTGTGAAGCTGCCGTCAGTGTTTCAGCTTCAGGGTCACACATGGTGAGAAGTCTCATGCGAAACGCCTGGCCCGCCCTTTCGACTGGCCTCGGGGTGCGAAAGGGAGGAGTTATTTATAAGGAGAAGGAATGGAGGATGAAGAGGAGTAGGAGGAGGAGGAGGAGGAGGAGGGACGAGATCTGAGGAAAATGAGAGATGAAGAGAAGGAGCAGGAATGACGAGGGACGCGGAGCAGGGAGACGGAGGCTTAGCAAGGGGGAACTCCTGGCCGCCTCAGAGCTGGCCTTGCGGGGAGTGGTGCAAGCGGATGCAGCCAGGCAAACACTTCACAACGAGACACTCAGAGCGAGACGTGCCGGGAAAATGAGATGCAATACAGTGGGGGCTCGGCCAGAAGAAACCTCCGTAAGAAACCCAACCCTCAAATCCGCGATTTGTTCAGTGAAAACCAAAATTTGTCGATCGAAAATCCAGGAAAGTTCGACATTGAGGGCACATCGAAATCCAAGAAACCCAGGGCACCCTGGCAAAATCCAACTGGTTTCTTGGCACACGCCCCCACTGTAGAGTCCTGTGGCAACTCCTGGGAGCCTCCCATGCCACATTGTTGGCTCTTGCGGATCGGCGCCCGTAGACGCCAAGTCGGCCCCAATTTCGATGCTACATCGACGCTACTCGCAGCTGAGTCGGCCCCATCTCGTCGACTCCCAGGCGCTGGTCGATGCGAATCGACCCGAAAGACATAAGTGAAAGGGTATACCAGGCTCCCATGATTTGCTATCGAAAGGATGCACTTGAGCGTAACGCGTGTTACAGTCGGGGCGTTGACCTAAGGAACCCTAAATCCGGAACGAGGCCCCTTTTTTCCATGAGTTAACTTCGATTTCCGATCGAAAACATAAGGATAACCTGAGGCAAGCTGTGAAACACTTAAGGAACGCGGAGCCCCTCCCCAACGAAAAGGGTTCCTTCAGGGCCCCGACTGTACGGAGAAGGGTCGGTGGGGGTGGGGGCGGGTAACGGCAACGTCGGCCGCGGCGTGCACCCCCCAAGGCGCGCCCGCAGCACAGGCGCAGCAGTCGCCCGTGTGCACCGCAACCCCTGCGCACACGACAACGACTTCGTGCACCACAGCGCCTGTGTACACCGCAATCCCGACAAATCCCGAACCTTGCTAAATCATGGTGGCTTCGAGAGCGTTCCGGAACGCCCTGGGAGCGTTCGGGAACGCCCTGGAGCGATGTGTCTCGACCTCAGCCCTGCCTGCAAAGAGAGGAGGCCGTTGAGCTTCGGCCGGCAGGCCAAGATGCTGGGGGAGCCTAGCGCCACCGATCCCACCACCGCGAGCCCGGTGAGCACGAGGTCCTCCGTCGTCATCGCACCCCTGTTCAGCGCCGAGGGAAGGGCTCGGGCAGGCGGCGGTGCAGCATTTTTTGGGGGGGGGCAGGGGGATGAACACAGCAACGGCAAGAGAATGACAATACACCCCTAACAAAAAACGTGACTGTCAGTAGACTGTTGACTATGGGTCACCTCTACATCGCAGAGCGAAGGGGGGGGCTGGGAAAGGGCATGCCACTCCGATGTGTAGCCGCCGCGATCGCCGCGGCGACCTCCCAAACCGACCCAAAGAAATGGTCATGGGCGGAAAACATGCGTATCCGCTGCCTCGCAAGCCGGGTCCCTGGTCCGCGACCTGGCGGCTACGGAGCGTATTTTTCGCGGATGCCCCGCGCGGAACGCACCCGTGTGACCGCGCATCAGCGGGATCGCGCCCCAGAATCTAGACCGCGAAGGCGCGGCATACGGATATGCTCGCCGCTCGCGAATGGGTTCGGGGTCGGATATCTGGGGAATGGTAACCGATACCGCTACTCCGCGGACCTCTACCATGGTGCGTTCTGACCAGGATTTCGAGGCGAATCCAGCGGTGACGACGAGGGCCTCCCAAGGAGACCCAAAAAGGCGAAAACGAGGCAAGGGTAGAGGAATGGGTACCTTTCCCTTCTCTGATATACCAGGAAAATCCTGGAGGCCTCGCGCGGCAGCTTAAGACTCAAAATGCATCGGATGTACGTCGGATTGCGCCAGGCTCACGCCTGGTTTTCCGTTGGGCCCACGAGGTGTTTTGTTGCATGGGGGAAGGAGCGAAGCACGCCAGCAGCGCCTGGAACTCGGTGTTTGTAACCTCCTCCTGCTGCAATTCCTCCACCTGTTGGGGATCCCGATACGGCACCGTGACAGACCATGCGGTGCCCTCGGGGCCCCCAAAGACCTCACCGCAAGGCCCGCCACCGCATGGCTTTGGGACGAGGCCCTCGGCGCCAGAGACATCCCTGGAGAACGGCCCGAACCCCGAAGCCGTGCGGTCACAACGAATCCCCACTGGCTCGCCACACGGTGTGGCCACCACACCCTCTGGGGGCCCCCGATCCTCCCCGCGTGCAGACTGCAACACCGAGCTCCGGCCCTGCTGCGGTCGCGGGGCTGCTGGCAGTCGCACGCGCGGCCCCCGAGAAGAAGATCCAAGATCCAGCGCGCGAGCCCGCTGCCAACTCGGCAGCAGCCAGGGCGTCGCGGGTGCTCGAGTCGTCATGACGAGGGGGAGCCTGAGGGGGCGGGGCTGGCTCGGGAGGGAGAGCCTCGCGCCTGCATCGGCGATCCATCGCCGATAGATCGGCGATGGGCCCCGGAGAAGGAATGCGTGAGCTCTTTGGCGGGGTCGGCTAGATCGGGCGCCCATGGGCGGTCCATGGGCGGCGATTGGGGGTCGATGTCCAGTCCCACTCGAGCCCACCCACCCCCAGACGTTGCCCGTGGCCGTCGGGCCATGTGAGCGTTTCCTACTTCAACGTCTCGACATTGGTTGGAAGCTGGGCGAGGGCTGACAAATCTGTGGTGGCTAAATCTGTCTACCTGGAAGGGAAAACAAATTCCCGGAAGAAACCTCAGCGCGCTAAAACGTAAACGGGCTGCTTCCCGGAAGAAAGAACACATTTCCCGGAGCTCCGTTTTAGCAGCCACGGATTTGCCAGCCTTCGCCAGGCTTCTGAATTGGGCGGAAAGGGGGGGGGGGGGTCTGGCTCAGGATCCCTGCTTAGTGCGGCGGTTTGCAACCGTGAGTCCTACGGGGTAGCTGCTCGAAACAGGCGCCAAAAAACATACAAGACTTACTCAAAGGGGGGGGGAGGGGGAAGGGGATGTCAGCTCCTGCGCCGATCGGCAAAACAATGAACAGGAAAACGACGACCATACTTCGGCTCTCCAGCGGCTGTTTGGGGCGACCTTGGGACCCCGGAGCGCTCTCGGCGAGGCGCTGCCGCTGAAAGGCATCCCGAGGCTGGAAAACCGCTAACAACCGACGAAAGCATCCGAAAAGCTCAAACCCCGAACCCCTTGAGCCGAATCCCCCCCAACGTTACCACCGAAGCCATCAGAACGGGGCCGCGGTGGCAGCAGCGGCATCACCACCGGCAGGACCCACCGTGGCAGCAGCGGCGGGGCAGACGGCAGCGGCGGCAGACAACAAGTCGGGGACGCACTGACCCGGCTCAACCCAAACCCGGGTCAGTCGGGCCTTGCCCGATCCTGCAAAATCTTTTTGGAGTCCCGAAACGGTGCGGTGACAGACCGGGCGGTGACCTCGAAATCCCAAATCCCCCAAGACCTCACCGCACGGTCCGTCAACGCACGGTTTTGGGACCTCAGATGCCCCAGTCGCCCGAGACGTCCTCGGAGAACGACCCGAGCCCCCAAACCGTGCGGTGACCCCGAATCCCCACCGACTCACCACACGGTGTGGTCACCACCCCGTTCGGGGGTCCCCGAATCTTGCAGGACCCTGCACGCGAGGCCGGGCCAACGCGCCCCTGGAGGAGGAGGAGGAGGATGAGGAGGAGGAGGAGGAGGAGGAGGAGGAGGAGGAAGAGGAGGAGGTAGAGGAGGAGGAGGAGGAGGAGGAGGAGGAGGAGGAGGAGGAGGAGGAGGTAGAGGAGGAGGGGGAGGAGGAGGAGGAGGAGGAGGAGGAGGGGGAGGAGGAGGAGGAGGCGGAGGAGAAGGAGGCGGAGGCTCTGCAGAACCCCTGCAGGACCCGTCGCTCCGACTGGCCCCCGCGTGTGTGGACCCCCGCCCCTGGAGCCCCGCCGAGCAGGGCCGCAGCGTGCGGCCCAGGACGGGGGGCCCGAGGACGCCCGGGCCCCGCCGCGCCCGGCGAGGAGCTTCGGGGCCCGTGTTCTCCTGGTCTGCACGCCCTCCGCAGCCAGAGGAGGAGGAGGAGGAGGAGGAGGAGGAGGAGGAGGAGGAGGAGGAGTGAGGAGGAGGAGGAGGAGGAGGAGGAGGAGGAGGAGGAGGAGGAGGAGGAGGAGGAGGAGGAGGAGGAGGACGCCTGGGCCCCGCCGCGACGGGCGAGAGCTTCGGGGGCCGTGTTCTCCTGGCCGGCACGCCCTCCGCAGCGAGAGGCCTCCCAGGCGGGGCCCGAGTACAGTCATCGGCCTGACCTAAGGAACGATAAATAAGGAACGACGCCCCTGTTTCTCCCAAGGAATAACGCGTAAGGAACGATAAATAACAAATAAGGCATAAGGAATTGTAAATAACGCATGCAAACCTAAGGAACGACCGAGCCCCGTTTGAAAAGTAAGTGTTCCTTATTCAAGCCGCTCACTGTAGATGGGGTCGACGGATCGCGCCGCATCGCCAATGCATCGCCGACGACGCATCGGCGATGCATCGGCGGCGTCGGCGTGGGGGAAATCGGGCTCCGCATCGAGCCGCATCGCCGATGCCTCGGCGATGCGGCGCGATCATCAGACCTCATCTGCTCGGACCCCATCTGGGAGGCCTAGATTTAGGGCTCTGTCTTTCTTGCCTGCACGCACTCCGTAGCTGCCTGCACGCCCTCCTGTGCTCAGCTGCGGTCTTTCTCTGATGGACACTGTGCAGGCCTGAGGAAAGCTTGAGAGGTCCCTTCCAATGCATCCCCCATCTGGGCCACCCCCCCATCACCACCCGCCCGATACGGCAGGCTCGTGCCGTCGCGACCCGGGCCCATCGCAGTGGCCAGAAACCTGCCCCCTACCCTCGGAAGCCGCGAAACGGCGAGAAGCCTACCGTCGGAGTGTTGCCCACAACGCATCATCGGGGGGAGGGACGGATCAACTGTCGAGAAGCCGCGCGGTCGGCGCTGGCTGGACAGCGAGGGCATCACGTCGCGGTGTTGCCCACAACACGCTATTAGGGGGTCGGGGCTTCTCTCCCGGTAGAAGAAACAAGTACAGAAACATAAACTTCCGACGGCCCGCGCGGATTGGCGCCGGCTGGACAGCCGTGGCCTCACTTCGCGGTGTTGCCCACAACGCACTGATATGAGTGTCGGGGCTTCCCCCCCAACATGAGAACCAACTGCATGCAGATCGTATTGGAAGGCCCGCGCTGGCTGGACAGCCGTGGCCTCCCATCGCGGGTTCGCCCACAGCGCATAATCTGGGGGAGTCAGGGCTTCTCTCCCGGCAAAAGAAACAACTGCATCAGCTTTTTTCGTCGGCGGCGAGGCAGAGGCAGCCCGCACCAGCGCGAGACTCATACGGGCAACCGAAAGGCGAATACAACTGCATACACATACATCGTCGAAGGTCCAGGCGGATCGGCGGTGGATGGATCCCGCTCCGAGGCGCGCGGAGTGCGCCAGGGGCGGCGCCGGTGTCGCCGCAGGGGGATCAACCGCCGATCCAAACAAGTCCGCGAGGCCGAGGACCTCTGAAGCTTGATCTTCGTGTCGTCGCGACTTCGGCGTCTGCTGAAAGATGGCACCACGTGGACCGTCCAGCATGGAACGACCGGCGCCTTGTCCATCGCCAGGTCGCTCCGCCCTGCAGGCGAGGCTGGGCCACCAGCGGCGTTCGACCTTGGAGCGCCTGCGGCGAGGCCGCCGCCGCGTCGACACGGCGCGAGCCTGCCGCAGCGGCTCCGTCTCCGGGCGGGGCGTGCCCGCCGGAGCGGCGCCGCGGGGCACGGCGAGCTCCGCGGAGCGGAAGCAGCAGGGAGGACAGCCAAAACCTCCCTCGGCGGGCCGCTTCCTCACCCAGGCGCTCCAAGCATGCACGTCGGTCGGGAGAAGTGGGCAAGGACACGAAGCAGGAAGGCGGATCAAGGAGACTGGGTTCAGGCCCTCTCCCAGAGGATATCATCACACGGCATCAGCACATCGATGCTTGAAGGAGGTAGGCGCCCAAAGTAGGTTGGGCTCTGGGATAGCCCAAGCACGACCTGCTTTCAACGACCGACTTGTAGGGCCGTCCTCTTTCGACCCCCAGCGGTGTGCTGCTGACGGCCCAGGCGCCCGAGAGCCAGGGGAACGAAGAACGGCATCAACATAAAAC